CTTCACTTAATTAATCACACATAAGTGTTTATTACAGGGGCTGCTGAGTCAGCCTAAATCCTTAGTAGCAAAAAAAAAAAAAAAGTCAGACCTCAAATAGACTGGACTGCATATGAATTCAGAACTGCAGTGACTTAAATTCAAAGAGACGCTAATTCCATGTGGTATTTACTGTACATTCTTTACTACATCTTTTCATCTCTGTAGGCTGGAGATGAAGACAAAGTCTCTGAAATCTGAGCAGCACCAGCCTGAAAAGTTTGATCTTTTGAGAGTAGCTGTTAATTCAAGTTAGTGTAGAGGGCTAACTCAACAGAGTAATTACATAACACAAAGAAACCCCTCTCCGTCTCTGTCAAGCCGCCCAAGACTGGGCTCCTTTCATCCAGCGAGGGGACATGGTGGCCGGAGAGAGAAAGGGACGATGGAGTCTGCCCACTCCTTTCATACACTCAGAACAAACACTATTCTCTCTCTTGGTTTGTGCATATATGCATTAGATAAATATGCATTCGATAAATTAAGCTCAGTGACGTCAAGCCCCACGATGACCCCCTTCGGTGTATGTTGACCATTTTGCAGGGTTGCAAAGGTAAGTGATTTTGAATGACCCCGTGTTGGGATCTGACTATATGGCTTCGACATGTGCTGTGGAACAAAGAGTCAGGCCTTCCCTTTTGCAAGCAAAGGTTTCATCCTGATTGTAGTTTGAGCACCAAACCCCCAGCTCTGAAGAAATTCACATTAGGGTGTGAGTTTCCTCCCCCCAAAAAAAAAACTGTGTTCCTGAAGCCACCTGAAAGCAGCGATGCAATCTAATTGGCCGAGAGCCAAGACACCCCAGGACCCCTGTGGTTCAGCCACTGTTCTACAAAACTACCTGCAACCCCCACCTCAATGCTTTTTCCCTTCGACCTCCGTCGAGCTAGGGAGCACACCAACGTTGTTTCCCTTTTCAACCAAATCCTAGGTCTAACAGTTTATATTCGCTGGCCGAATTCACCAAACTGTCTATTTTATCTTTGTTCGTATCCACGAAGCGAACCCCTTTATTCCTGCAGAAGTGAAGAAGCAAGACTTCTTCAGAGAGAGAGAGAGAGAGAGAGAGAGAGAGAGAGAACTTCCACTCTCCATCAAGCGCCTCGTTCGCTCGGACATAAGGACGCGAAAATCCCTTATCCAGACGACAGCGATTCTCTCCTACCGAGAGAACACCTCCCGCGGCCCATAGCCGCGCTGCCCGAGCCCACCGAAGCTCAGAAGAACCCCCCTCAATCAACACGAGTGCATCGTACCGTAAGGCGAAATAGAGTCTGGGCAGAGTTAGAGAGAGTTTGTGTTTATTTTATCTTGTTTGTGTGCTTAAAGTACTGTTCATTTTTATAACGTGGTGTATGCTTAATAACCGCCGACACTAACGGTCGCTGAGATCGTTGTGGAGAAGCTAGTGTATTTCATGCTACCGTGATCTGTGTTGAGCTAGCCGCCTCGTGAGGTCGAAGTTGCTTCTCGTCAGTTCAGGAGGTCAGAACCGCCGGCTGAGACAAAGAGTCGCGGTTCTTGCTCCCCTGGCTGAGAGAGCAATCTTCCGTACTCCAGCGCGGCGCAGAGGATCTTAATCTCTTGTTTTATTTCATTTTGTTTCTTTCCCTTCTCTTTTACTAACACACACATATAGGTTTGAGCTAATGTAGCTACGTGCTAAACGGCTACCGGCACGTATAGACGCCAGGTCTCCTGTTGGCTATCCGCCATTTTGAGTCTCGCGCATGAGACGTCACCATGTCCCAACTACGTCATACGTCGCTGAGCTGTTCCCTCGCTCTTCCTCCTTACGCGCGCGCGCACACACACACACACACACACACACACACACACACACACACACAC